GAAGATCAGTGGAATAGATTAGAAGATACAACCACAACTACAAACACACTCAACCACCTTATGTTTGATAAAGAGGCCAAACAAGTTCACCGGAAGAACGACAGTCTCTTTCATAAATGCTGTTGGAACAACTGGCTCTCTATATGCCAAAAACTAAAACTAAACTCATGCCTATCACCATATACTAAAATTAAATCTAAATGGATCAAAGATCTTTTGACCATGCAGCTTTACAGAAAATCAACCATGCAAACCAGGAAGCCAGCCCTCACCAGGTTGTAGTCCGTTTACTTTCTTTTTTCTTTTTTATCAGTACCGGGGATCGAACTCACGACTGCCTGCTTGCAAGGCAGGCGCTTATGCCGCTGAGCTAAATCCCCAGCCCCTATTGGAATGGTTTTAATCTGAGTTGTTTTATATTATTGTCTGTGATACTACAAATAGCTATTTTTAATAAAATAAGACAGCGTAATAGCTAGTGATGATTTAACATCATCTTGTTTTGAAGCCCCATCAAGTTGTTGTTCATCTGTTTCCAGTAGTTTTAACATGTTGTATCTTATTATATTTTAGTGTATGCAATAGTATAAGCAAAATTTTTTATAGGCAAAGAGATAATATAGAAACCGATGTTCGGTTTCTGTTAGCTGGTAATAAATACCCTGCAATACTTTCATTCTCTTGAATGGTTTAACACTGTCTTGATAAGTTTGATGCTGTAGTATACGAAGTTAGACTGAAATATTTCAAGGAAAGACACTATGGTAACTACTATTAATGTCAGGCTATCTGGTGGTGAAACACAATGATGCTTAAATTGTTCGGTTCTGACCTGTGTTGTTCTATTGTTATGCTCTTTTTCATCTCAATCTCCCCCCTTTTTTTCTTTTTTTAAAAATTAATTTATTTCTTAGTATCTTTTAATTAAGGGAAAACTAAATTAAAAAATAGCGGGACATACTATAGTAACTTTTTTTGTTTTCCTATTAACCTGATTTGAACTCTTGTATTATTCTCCACATCTTGTTCTGACTGATTTTATTATATTCTGTTTTGTTTAATAGTATCAAATTTGAGGGTATAGGCAATCACTTTGAAGGCAGCCAGATACTCTATGATGCCCATTATGGTTTGACTATTATCTTCTTTGAAAGTCCAGTAAGGTCTCCAATGTGGGTTTCCTTGGTCTTGTTCTGTACTGTTTTGTTCAATTCTTTTATACCAGCTGATATAGGCAACTCTTTTTAGGACAACAAAAGGCATAATGGTAACCATTGTTGATCACCTGGTAATCTCTTTTTGCATTATGTACTATGTCCATCCTCCTGTTCTAACTGACTCTGTTTTGCTTTGTCACATTGGGTTTTTTGTTCTGTTTTGTTTTATGGTTTTTTTTTTTGTTTTCCTCTTCAAAGAAATAGTTTTAAGAACTGTGGGAGTAATGGAACCTAAAATGTGTGATGGTTAGCATAAAAAAGGGAGGAAAGAAAGTGATCTAAAGGATATAACTGCAAGTGTATTTAAGTGTGTAGGATAGAAAACCATATTACTGAATTTTTGTTGGATCATTGAACCAGAGCTATCTGCAATCTCACTGTGTTAATGTCACTTTGTATGCTTTAATTTTGTAAGCTGGACAACTGTTTCTGAGATGACAATATGTAATCTATTCACTAGTGAATTTTTACTGTATATTTTTTCTCTTGAAATTCTGTATTACTTGTAGATTTTTACTCTTTTGCTTTGTTTTGCTTTGTTTTTTTCTGTTTAAATAAAAAAAAGAGTATCCAAAAGAATACTTAGAAATAAACTTCAAGTTAGCTGTGGTGGTCCATGGCTATAAACCTAGTACTCTAGAAAGCTGAGGTAGGAGGATCACAAAGTCGAGTCTACCCTGGACATTTTAGCAACTTAATAATACTTTGCTCCACAAAACAAAACAAAGCCAACAACAACAAAAACACTGGCGAGCTAGCCCAGTGTAAAGGCCCTGGGTTTAAACCTCAGTACTGCAAACCAATCAGTTTCATTAAGGTGGTGAAAGACTTGTACCCAACAAAACTATACAACTTTGCTGAAATCATTAGAAAACACATAAATGGGAAGTTATTCTATTGTTTTTTGGAAACAAGGTCTTGCTATGTAGTTTGAGTTGGCCTCCTCTTGACTCCCCTCTTGAAGTGCTGGGATTGCAGGTTTGTACCACTGTACCTTACCTATGTTTAGGTTTTGGAAGACTCAGTATTGTTAAGAAAACAAGTCTACCCCAAATGATCTATAGATTCAGTGCAGGTACTATCAAAAATCTCTGCGACATTTTCAGGTAATTATGGTCTGGGAGGCTGAGGCAGGATGATGACAAGTTTAAACCCAGCTCAGGCAATCGAGCAAATTAGTGAGACCCTGAGCACAAAAAGGGGTGGTGGTAACAGTAGCCAGGGATGTAGCTCAGTGTGAAGGTCCCAGTTTCAACCACCAATAATACAACAAACATACAAAACTCTGGGACACTTTTTGCAGAAATAGAAAAATCCATCCTAAAATTCATATGTAATCTTAAGAGACCCCAAAATACTTAAAACAATGGAAAATGAAGAATAAAATTGGACTCACACTGCATGATTTTAAAATTTAGTACAAAGTTACAGTAATCAAGGCAGTGTGCTTCTGGCATGAACAAAGATGTATAATCAGTGAAACAGAATGAAAACCCCACAAATGAATGCTCCCATGAATGGCCAAATGATTTTAAATTATGTAAAAATGTTAACTGCCATGTAAGAAGAATACATATGCACGGGGTACTATGTGGCATTGAATATATATATAGTGTGTGATAACCAGTTCAGGGCAAGTAGCAGCTCCATCACCTCAATGTTTATCATGTTTTGTGTTACAATCGTTCAAAATTGTCTTTGCTGCTTATGTTGAATTACAGTTATCCTGCTGTGCCACAGCATACTAGAAATCATTCTATGTATAAAAGTAGAATCCTGTGTGCAGATTATTTTTTGATGAGGGTGCTAGTACTGTTCCATGCAGAAGAATGTTTTTTCATCGAAGCTGAATCTCCATGCAAAAGAAGCTGAACTTTTCCCTGACATAATATATAAAAATTATTTCCAAATGGGCCAAATACCTAAATGTAACACCTAAAACTGTAAAATTCTTAGCAGCAAATACAGAGAAAACGCTCGCTATGTTGGATTTGGCAATGATTTCTTGGCTCTGAAAACAAAAGCATAGGCAACAACGCTAAGAATATAACAGATAAGTTGGAGTGCATTACAGTTTAACAATAATAAAAAGCCCCAAACCATCCAAGTAAAAAGCAGACTTGAGCAGCCATTTCTCTAAAGACGATATAAAAATGGCCAGTAAACATATAAAAAGATGTGGAATGTCATTGGTTATTAGGGAGGGGCAAATCAAAACCACCTCACACCCAGTAGGATATCTATTATCAAAACACAAGTCTTTTTGAGGATGTAGAGAAATTGGGACTTGTGTGCCTGTGGTAGGTGGGAATGTGAAATGGAACAGTCACTGTGATTTCAGTATAGGCTTCCTCAAAAAATATTGCTTCTCATTTTGTAATTCCACAGCTGAAATTAATGAAATCAAAGATTTGAGCTGATATTTGCATATTTTTTCATAGCAGAATTATCAATCGACCAAAATGGGAACAACCCTAAAGTCTATTGATGGATGAGTGAGTAAGTGACATGAGGTATACCCCACAAAGCACTATATCCATACATTAGACTATCATGGTCTTAAAAAATAAAAATAAAGGAACAAACTTCTGGTATACATACAAAATGGATAAGCCTTGAAGACATTATGCTAAGAGCATTAAACCAGACACAAAGAACAAATATTGTGCAATTCTCCTTCTGTGAGAGGTTTAGGAGAGAAATATACATACATACAGAAAGAAGTGGGTTACTGGAGGCTGGGCAGTGGTTGAATGGGGAGTTGTTGTATACTAGGTATAAAGTGTTAGTGTGGTAAGATGAAAAAGTTCCAGAAATGGAAGTGGCAATGTTACATAACAATATGAATATACTGAATGTCAAGGAACTGTGCTTTTCAAATGGTTAAAATAATAAGTGTTGTGTATATTTTACCACATGGCAAAGGAATGTTAACAGAAAAGTAGGCCAATAAAAAAAAAAACTCTTGCCCAAGTTGACACAATCAATGCCAAACTCAGTATAAGAAACTCAGTGTGGTTGGCTTCCTGACACCCGTGGAGTTAACCAACTAAGGTTTGAAACTCTTCAGAAAAAAATGAGACTACATGGAAAATGTATGGACGTTTTTCTCTTCATTATTCCTTTAAAAATGGAGCACAAGAATGAGTTACATTGCATTTGGTATTGGAAATAATCTAGCAATGATTTAAAATATAAGGGAGAACTGAGTGTGGTGGCTCATGTCTGTAGACCTGCCACTCCGTGGGGCTGAGGCCAGAGAATCACAAGTTTAAGCACAGACTTGGCAACTTGATAATCTAATAAGACTGGCTAAAATAAATAAAGGAACAGAAAAAAAAATAAGCCAGAGTATACAGCTCAGCAGCACACTGCCTGCCTGGAAAGTATGAGATCATGAGTTCAATCCCTGGTACCAAAGGAAAAAAAAGGGGGTGCAGGGGGAGTAGGGATGTAGCTCAGTAGGAAGGCTTTCAGCTTAACCCCTAGTACTACAAATAAACAATCAAAAATATGTGGGAGAATTCGCACAGTCATGTGCGAGTGCTACCCCAGTTTAACATTAGGCATTAGAGTATCCACAGGTACTGGTATGTGTGGGGCTTCTGGAACAAACTCCCTGTGAAGACTGGGGGTGACTGGTTAGTCACACCCAAAGCTCTTAACCACTTTGCAAGTCTCTTTACTGTATTTGTATCTCAACTAATGTGACTTTTATTCATCTTGCACATTACTAGGCAAGAAATTCTCCCCAGAAGAGGTAGGAGAGGAGAAGCCACTCACCACTGCTGGCAGTCACACTTAGTGTGAAGGGATCGCTCAGGCTGGAACTGACACCATTGGAGACCTCACACTTATACTCCCCAGCATCCTCAGTCTTGACAGGATTGATGGTGAGGGTGTTGCCTTCTGCATTCACCTTCATTCTATCTGTGAGCTTCAGACTCTGGCTTTTAAAGATCCATGAGATAGTGATTTCAGGGTCATTTGAGAGGCATTTCAGGTCCACAGAACTGCCTTCTTTGACATTGGTGCTGCTGGCTTCGATGGTGGGTTGCGACACACGTGCTATGGACAGAGGAGAGAACCAGCTGAGCATGGGCCTTCGGCCCAGCTGTGCCCTTTCCTTGGATATTTAGCCAAGTCTCTGGGCTACTTTGAGTGCTGTGAGGTGGCTCAGAGGACAGCCCTGACCCTCCACAGAGGTTGCATGCCTTGGCTCAGGCGACAGTAAGGAGCAGGCTATCCCTCCCTCTGAACCCAGCACACCTGGGGAGACCCATCAGCTTCCCTAGACCTCTGTGAGGGATCCATGTTAGGAAACTATTATTAGCCAATCTGTCCAGAAATCTCATTAGGTCGAATATTTTTTCCCATTGACTTTTTTTTCCTTTTTATTCAAGAAAATAGAAGTGAAAGGTGGGAGGGAACTATCTCTGCAAAGCAAGCATGGACAGAGTAAAAGAGGAAACAGTGGTATCAAATTATCCTGGTTAAGGTAGGGTGGGTTATCATCAGGAAACCACAATAGCTACCCATTCCCTTTTTATTTCTTTGTAACCCTTTATTTCACTTTGTAACCCAGCTGGTCTTGTACTTGCCACAGTCCTCATGGCTCAGCCACCTAAGCGCTGGAATTACAGGTGTGACACAACATGCTTAGTTTCCCACTGACTTTTGCATAGTGTTTTGCCACTGCTTTCCATGACAGTAAAAGCTGAGCCACCTGTAGCCTGAAGAACATCTCAGTTTTAAAGGGATCTTGATTTCATGACCTGTGGATTAATTACCTTAGTGAAGGAAATCAGCAGAGATAAAGGGTCACGGTGTTCATTAAAGGCTGGCATCATTCTCTCTGCAAATGTAGCCCTCTGGCCCTGCCCTTCCCTCCATGCAGGACTCCACAGCGAAGCACTGCTCTCCACGGTGCATCACTTGCAGGTGCATTCTCAGCCTCAGACAGCTGGGACTTCAGAGTCAGGACCCAGCTCTGAGGCATCTGCCAGAGGTGCACTTTTTCATTTCATTGCCTGTTGGGAAGGCTTAGATGCCCACTGAGGACACGACTTAGCAGATTTTGAACAGTTCACCCAGATCTTTTGCACCTGTCCTGTTCCATCCCAGACAGAGTAAGGGCAGAACCAGTTCTTAGAGTTGGAGCAGAGCTCTGAAGTGCTGTACTTTGTCCAAGAGGGATTTCCTTCTCTGATTTGGAGAAAAGCAGTGCAAATGTGTTTCAAGCCCTGTGAGTTCCTTGCAGCTCACAGAGGAGGTAAAAGAGAGATGGCAGAGGGGCTGACTTACTAAGGGAAAGAAGTTACTTCACCTTAAAGAGTCCCCTATCCTAGTTTCTGTGTATCTCCACCCACTCAATGAGGCTTTGTGGGATTAGAAGAACAGTCTCTCTTTATTCTACACTGAACTCCAGCTCAGCTATGAGGAATCAGGCAAGCAAAGGGAGGACAGTCTCAGGGATGGGGCCAAAAGCTCAGGGAGCATGGAGATTTGCTCCATGCTGGGGACACAGGCTAGGAAGTGACTTCTTTCCCACTATTTCCAGACAACCCAAAACACTTCCCTAGGGCTTGGTACTCCAGGATCCAATTACCAATTACTGTAATACTGTGCTCCTACTGAGGCCAGTGGCAGGGTTAGAGACAAGGTAGGTGTGAGATCCACTAGCATTTGCACATATGTTAGGGAAAGAAAACTCCTGTATGGATTATAGGGGCTCCCATTGACAAGCCAAGAATGCTGTGCCAGTGGGTTACAGCCTGCATGGCAGGAGAGTGTGTTTGTCCTTGGACGGAAATGTGACTATGGGGGCAAAATGATGGAGGCATCCGGGCCATCTGGAGTGAGCCAAATAAAGCTATATGTGATGTCATCAGAGGGAAGGGGAAGTCCTGTCTTGTAGAAGGCTGAGTATTCTTCTCAGCTATGTCACAACCTTGTTTAAAAAGTCCCAACCAGGTGAAAGGGAGCAGTTCAGTCTCAGAGCACCTGCCTAAGGTACATCAGGCCCTGGTTCCATCCCCTGTACTATGTACACAGAAAAAAGTCCTGGTCATATCCCTCTGTGCTGGCTGAGCCTGAGTTATCCCCCTGTTTTTAGATAAGAGGTGGTAAAGTGAATGTCTGCAGATAGGAGAAGCCCCTGTCCTCCTGTTGTGAGCTGAAGGTCAGGCTATCCTGGATGGCAGCATCAGGATTGTATGGCCAGCCTAAGTGTCCAAGAGGGAGGCCTGTTTGACTTGAAGATCAATGGAATGGATTAGAAGATACAACCACAACTACAAACACCCTCAACCACCTTATTGTTAACAAGGACATGTTCACTGGAAGAAAGACGGACCATTTAATAAGTGCTACTGAAAAACCTGGCTTGCCATATGCTGAAAATTAAAACTAAACATGTCTATCACCATGCACTCAGTCAAAGTCCAAGTGGATCAAAGATCTAACTATTAAAACAGAAACACTAAATCTGCTGGAAGACAAAGTAAACAGAAGACATGGGGGTCAGCAAAGAATTCATGAACAAAAATTACACTGCAGAGGAAATACTTCCAAGAATCAACAATTGGACAAAATACTGGAAGGTTGTGGATTGATGAATAGCAGTTGAGAGTGTTTCTGAGAGAAAGAACTCAGATGCTAGAATTTAACAGCATGGAGAAGACCAGATGAAAGGAGAGGGATTCTCACAACCCAGGAAGAAACTGAGGGAAAAGAAAAAGATAAAGAAAGAAAGAAAAAAGAAACATGGATGGAAGGCTGGAGCTAGATGTGCTTTCACTGGAGCTGGTCCCATTATGTGCTGGATGCCTTGGAGTCAGACAACTCTAAGTGGTGCCAAAATTAGGGCTTGGTGAGCCCAATGCCCTGGCAGGAGGATACGCTGCAACAGAGAGTGGAAACAGCGTGGAGAGTTACACTGACCTGTGGTGAGTACTCTGAATTTAGCCCTCCAGGGGGAGGTGACCTGCTGGATGACATATTGGGGTTGGGTGGGATGGGCCTGAACCCGGAACTACAGTGGAACTACCCGGAACTACCCAGAACCCAAAGCAGACTGATGGGATCTGCTTGGGCTGGGTCATGCCCCTGGTGAGGACCCAATATCCAGGGTTGAAACTGTCCTGAACCTGTGAAGTCTGCATAGCACAGACTAAATGAAGACACTTGCTAGTTAACTGGCTCAGAGGAGAGGGGCCAGTCCAATCACCCTTGCGTGTACCTCACAGATCAACAGCAACCTGGAGAGGGCCTCAATCCCCTAGCCAGCATGCTTCAGAAAAACTGAAAGCAATACAGAAAGGACCTGAGACCTCCACCATATACCTGTCTGAAAGAATCCTGAATCATGACAAGAGAAAGAAACAAGAAAAATCCTCCAGCCACTGACCTAGGGGATATAAGTCCAGGAGAGGTAAATACAGAAGAGATGGAGGGCAGCAAACATGCAATATTGGACATGGCATCAGCCAACATAGAGAAATACCTTCATGACATCATAGACAAACTTAAACCTGAAATTCTAATTCAAGTGAAGCAAGATATAAGAAGATTAATAAAAGAAGTGCTAAGCACCTCTCAAGAAGACACAGAAGGAAGAATGGAGGAACCCAGAAAAAGGAGATAAATCTTTGACGAAGAATATAAACAAAATTTAGAATACATGAAACAGATTAAAAAAGATTTTAAAAATTCAAAACTAAAATTAAAAACACCATTGAAAGCTGCAAAATTGTTTGAAAGAAATTAAAGTTAGACTTTTGAAACTTAAAGATAGATTTACAATGTGTGATTGTAAAAATAACAACAAACCAGAAAGTAACAATACAAAGGCTAGAAGATGACAAGAGGATCTATAACTTACCAAAAAATGTGACCAAAGAAGTAGGAGTAAACACAAATGAACTACAAAGGTTATTCACAGAAATAATTAAGGAAAAGTTTCCAAGCATAGGAAAAGGAAATGATATTCAGATATACGAGGCATACAGAACTTCAGCCAGCTACAACCAAAACAGATCCACACTCAGGCATATAATAATCAAGATTCCAGAAATTCATCACAAGAACAAAATATTAAAAGCTGTCAGAAAAAAGACACAGATCACCTATAAAGGAAAACCCATTAGAATCATGGCAGACATAGGTCTGCAGAGGAGGAGCTGGGCAGATCTGGGGTGCCCTCACCGGCCTCTCTGCGTGTCTGGAGGACTCTGGATATCTCCGCCCAGACTGCTGGAGTTCCCCCAGGCTTCCAGGTGCAGTAAAGGGGTGAGGTGGGTTTGAGGCTATCACATCAGCCTCCCCATTCCGGCTCCACTTGGAGACCTGCTGAGCTGCCGACGGATGGGCGGGCCCACACTATCAGCCTAGCCCAGCCTGTTTAGCTGCCGCGCCTGGACATAGGTCTGCAGAGGAGGAGCTGGGCAGATCTGGGGTGCCCTCACCGGCCTCTCTGCGTGTCTGGAGGACTCTGGATATCTCCGCCCAGACTGCTGGAGTTCCCCCAGGCTTCCAGGTGCAGTAAAAGGGCGAGGCGGGTTTGAGGCTATCACATCAGCCTCCCCATTCCGGCTCCACTTGGAGACCTGCTGAGCTGCCAACGGATGGGCGGGCCCACAATATCAGCCTAGCCCAGCCTGTTTAGCTGCCGCGCCTGGACATAGGTCTGCAGAGGAGGAGCTGGGCAGATCTGGGGTGCCCTCACCGGCCTCTCTGCGTGTCTGGAGGACTCTGGATATCTCCGCCCAGACTGCTGGAGTTCCCCCAGGCTTCCAGGTGCAGTAAAGGGGCGAGGTGGGTTTGAGGCTATCACATCAGCCTCCCCATTCCGGCTCCACTTGGAGACCTGCTGAGCTGCCGACGGATGGGCAGGCCCACACTATCAGCCTAGCCCAGCCTGTTTAGCTGCCGCGCCTGGACATAGGTCTGCAGAGGAGGAGCTGGGTAGATCTGGGGTGCCCTCACCGGCCTCTCTGCGTGTCTGGAGGACTCTGGATATCTCTGCAACCAGGGAGGGTCCACAGGTTCCTGAAGCACTACGGCCTGTG